CCTTCTGCTGGGTTTTGGGGTTGGTGGGATCCCTTCTGCTGGGTTTTGGGGTTGGTGGGATCCCTTCTGTTGGGTTTTGGGGTTATTGGGATCCCATCTGTCGGGTTTTGGGGTCATTGGGATCCCATCTGTCGGGTTTTGGGGTCATTGGGATCCCATCTGTTGGGTGTTGGGGTTGGTGGGATCCCATCTGTTGGGTTTTGAGGTCATTGGGATCCCATCTGTTGGGTTTTGGGGTTATTGGGATCCCATCTGTTGGGTCTTGGGGTTGGTGGGATCACATATTTTGGGTTTTGGGGTCATTGGGATCCCATCTGTTGGTTTTTGGGGTTGGTGGGGTCGTTTCTGTTGGGTTTGGGGGTTGGTGGGAACCACACGTTGGTTTTTGGGGTCAGTGGGGCTTGGTGGGATCCCTTCTGTTGGGTTTTGGGTTTGGTGGGATCCCTTCTGTTGGGTTTTGGGGTTGGTGGGATGATGTATGTTGGTTTTTGGGCTTGGTGGGATCCCTTCTGTTGGGTTTTGGGGATGGTGGGATCCCTTCTGTTGGGTTTTGGGGATTGTGGGATCCCTTCTGTTGGGTTTTGGGGTTGGTGGGATCCCTTTTGTTGGGTTTTGGGATCGGTAGGGTCCCATCTGTTGGGTTTTGGGATTGATAGGATCCCATCTGTTGGGATTTGGGGTCAGTGGGATCCCATCCATTGGGATTTTTGGGTTGGTGGTACCCCATCTGTTTGGTTTTCGGATCGATAGGATCCCATCTGTTTGGGTTTTGGAATCGATAGGATCTCATCTGTTGGGTTTCGGGATCAGTGGGATCCCTTCTGTTGGCTTTTGGGATCGATAGGATCTCATCTGTTTGGTTTTGGGATTGGTGTGTCCCCACACATTGAATTTTGGGGTTGGTAGAACCCCATCTTCTGTATTTTGGGATTGATAGGATCCCATCTGTTGGGATTTGGGGTCAGTGGGATCCCATTTGTTGGGTTTTGGGATTGCTTGGACCCCATTTGTTGGGTTTGGGGATCGATAGGATCCCATTTGTTGGGTTTTGGGATTGATTGGACCCCATTTGTTGGGTTTTGGGATTGATTGGACCCCATTTGTTGGGTTTGGGGATCGATTGGACCCCATTTGTTGGGTTTTGGGATCGATAGGACCCCATTTTTTTGGGTTTTGGGATCAATTGGACCCCATTTGTTGGGTTTTGGGTTGGTGGGACCCCATCTGTTGGCTTTTGGGATCGATAGGACCCCATCTGTTGGGTTTTGGGATCGATTGGACCCCATCTGTTGGGTTTTGGGATCGATAGGATCCCACTTGTTGGCTTTTGGGATCGATAGAACCCCATCTTCTCTCCTTTGGGCTCGTTAAGCCCCCATCCATCCTCCCATCCATCATTTTAGGATCGAATCCCACCCGGCACGATTCCCAAACACCTTTCCGAGATATGAAACCCCCCCCCC